TTAATTCTCTCGTAATTACTGTCTTCTCACTGGAATCCATTTGGAACTCTAAAGTGATTACTATGAGTTTTCCTCATTTATTAACTTTCCATACTGAGCTAGTAGGATCCCCACTGCCAAATGGTGGCAGAATCAAGCAAGAAAATTTGGGCTACTAACATAATTGGGATAGTCAGAAATTCCTTTATACCAATAAGGTTCAAATAGCATAACTAATAATGTGAAATAGGAAGAAAAGGTCTAAAGGAGTAGGGGAAGTGGGAAGGGTAGGGGAAAGGAAATAAGGGAAAAGAAAAAATATTAAAAAAGGAAAAAATGGAAACAAAGTCTTTGTAAATCGGGACAGGTGAAGCGGGGTGAAGGGAGGGCAGGGGAATGGGAAAAAATTAAAAACCATGTAAAGGTACAAGATCTCAATGATGACTGTAACTGTATTGTTTACATAAATGTACCAATAAACTTAATGGAGAAAAAAAATTCCTTCATACCACTCTAAGTTTCTCCTATGTTTACACTCACATGCCCAAAGTCTCACCAAAAAGTTCAGGCAAATATTCATTAGAATCCAGCCATAGCTAATAAATGACTGAGCATACATATTCATTCCATTTCCTCTGCCCATCTCTTGCCCTTGATCTTGACAGATTTAACACCTAAGAAATCTCAAACTAGTGACATCTACCAATGGTATTTACCTTCTCCAAGAAATGCAACCCCCCCAAAACAAAATACACTTATCCCATGCTGTGAACATACTTTAAAATTGCAACCAATAGTACCCAAAGCTAAAAAAGTAAGTAGAGACTACAGTCAAGTTAGATGGAAGCAATTTTCCTATCAAATACTCTTCCAAAGCTCTATGATAAATTGCTCACTCAACCACTTCTGTCACATCCAATTAAGTGTGAATCACATTTTTATTTATACTTACTTCTGCCACTCGGTGGGTGGAACTAAACCGAGGTTGTGAACCAGCCAAAACACAGTGTTGGTGGGTGGCATTGAGATCATCTGCAGGAAAAATACCAAAGCAAATTTTTAAACACGTTTATTAGTCAGTATATACTATCTACTATTTAACTAAAACAGAAGGTAAACAGTAAATCTATCACATAAGGAACAACAGTAACTAAATAATTAACAATTACCTTACATTCTTTAATCCATTTCTTATAAGAAAGATGGATATCTAGATTATATTTAACTATATACATATGTTTATACATACACACACACACACATATATACACATATACATACATACATATATATCATCCAAATCAGGTCACTTTCAAAAGTGAAGTTGTACTTCAAAATTATTCCAGAACAACAAATGTAAACCTGGATTACCCTCAGCCAACATGATATATACTCACCCTACTTATGCAGTCTTATGATGTCCACCCACTAACAGTAATGAAAAGTTTACTATTTATGCATTGTGCTTCTTTCTGTTTCATGTGGCAGATCTACTTGTAGGTATGTCTTTGTTTATATACAGTAGGCCAGAGATGAACATTTTCATTTCAAATCTGCCTCTTTCTCTTCATAATCAAAATATCAATTTTGTCCTAACAATTTTCCAGGCAACAAACCAACAAACTCAGCACATTGCATGTCTGGCTCTCAGAATAGAATCTGAGCATTGAGATTCGTGATTCAAGAATGAAATAGATGGTGAATTTATCACTTAAAAAATACTCCTAAAACCACAAGCAGTGGGAGAAAAATCAATGACCAAGTTGTTGCATATTCTAAGAACTTATGCTATACATTCAGCAAAATTAGTACCACCTTTGCCTACTAAATTACTTCCTCTGTTACAAAGAAAATAGATAAACAGTACGTTCCCCAACATATAATTTCCTTTATAAGCACCACAAACCCCTTACCAAGATACCTAGATAATAGTTTAAACTATGAATCAAAGGCAACCAGTCCCCATGCATGTCAGCAGAAACAATCTATAATGTAATCTCCAATCACAGAAAGGAAATGCAAAATGACAACTGAAGGACTTCCATTTCCAGATTATGGAGTAATGGTAACACTGTTTACTCTCGGATTTAAAGAACAATAAAACAAAGCAAAAATATAAATCAAAATTTCTATCAAGAAACAGGAATATGATACCAGTGAAAAGAGAAACAAAATAGGGAGGCCTATCACTGCTGTTACTTACTACCTGGGAACAATTTCAAAGTCAGAGTAGGAAAATGTAAGTCAGTTGAAAGAACAAAGACAGGAAGGCAAAAGCAGCAAGCTTTTCAAAGCAGGCTGTAGGAACAGTAGAACTTGCACAGAAAGAAAGCAAGTAGAGATCTGTTGAAGGGTCTCCTCCAGGCTTTAGCTAAGCACTGATGTGTGAATAAGAGAATGAAAATTCCCAACAGTCAAAAGCAAGCAGCAGAAACAGTAGGCTGAACAAATCTCAGACCTCATTCAGGACCAGAACATTTTGTGTTCCCAGTAGCCAGAATGCTCCTACTATGAGATCCTAGATAATCCTTAGAAAAAGCATCACCTTAATAGTAAAGCCACATTAACACTAGATTAAAGGTTGTTCTAGACCACCTAGCAAATCTTAAAACGAAGGGTCAAAAGGGTTAATTTACTGATATAATGTAATTATTCATTAGGGCAAAATCCAAGAATATTTAAAAGGATACAACAAAATCAGGCACACAAAAAACACAATGCGCAATATCCAGCATTCACTGAAAAAGTAACAGAAGACAGTAATGAAGACATCCATATAAACATATACACATTTTATATACATCTATATATGTGTTTGTATATCTTTCATCATATATATATAGAAGCATCTAAGATGTATAGTATCTGAAACTAAAATCACATTAAAATTAACAGAAATTTAGATACTACAGAAGAAAAAGTGAACTAGAATATTCAAATACAGAAAGCATCCAAAATAAAGGAAACAGAGAAAATATACTACCAAAAAATTAGTTTATGACCTATTAAACAATATTAAGTACTTTACCATAAATGTAACTTGTTACCCAAAAAATTATTGTTGAAGAAATAATACTCCTCAAAATCCAAGTTTGATGAAAACTACAAGCTCAATGACTCAAGAAGCTCAAAAAGCATAAAGCAAAATAAAATAAACAAGACCAAACTAATGTATATTGAAATTTTCAACATCAGTGATAAAGAAAAATGTTAACAGGAAGCAGAAAAGGGGACATATTCAACACAGTAGGTCAAAGACAAGAATGAATGCAGACTTCTCAATCAGAAGACAATCTGTTGACATACTCAAAATACTCAAAACAACTGTCAATCTAGATTCAGTCCCAACTAAAAAAAAAAGTAGCCCAAAATAAAAGTAAAATAAAGACTTCAGAAAAAGCTAAAAGAATTTGCATTCATTAGACTTGAAATTCTTCAAGTAAATAAAAAACATCAGAATTAGACCTGCTCAAAGCAATGAAAGTGCCACCAATAAAAATATTACTAAGATAAATTATTTAGAGCCAAAATAATAACAATGTATTCTGAAGTTTATAACATAAAATAGAAGTAAAATGCATGTAAATAGCACAAAGGCTATGAGAAAAGAAATAAAACTATTTAATAGTTTATCACTACTTAATAGTAATATTTAATAAGAAATACACTCTTTAAAGTTTCTGACACTATAGGAAAGGTAGTAAAATAACATGTGATGATAACTGTGGTAATTTAAAGATACTAAAAACCCAAGAGTAGCAGTTCTCAATCAATATAATTTTGTCATTACCACTTCCCTCTCAGTCTTCAAGGGACCTTTGGCAGCATATGGAGACATATTTTTAGATGTCACAATTGAGAGGGAACAGAGCTTCTAGTGAAACCTCATAGAAGCTACATTCTGCAATTCATATGACAACCCAACAACAACAAAAACTATCCAGCCTACACATCAATAGTTCTGAGGTTAAGAAATCCTAACCCAAGGACACTAGTAACAAAATCAATCAATCCATCCATCAAAGAAGTATAGTTAATAAGGCAAAAGTAGAGATACAATGGAATAAGAAAAATATCTAAATTCAAAAGAAGCAGGAAAAGGAAATAATATACAAACCATAAAAAATAGGAAAATGTTATAAAATAAAGTAACCTCTCCACTAATTAGGAAAAGAGATCTTAATTATCATTATCAGACATCAACAGAAGATCATCACAGTTCCTACAGACAACAAACAAAAGGACGATAAGGGAATATAGTGGGTGATTTAATGACAATAAATTCAACAACCTAAATACAACTGACAAATTCCTTCAAAGATACACTATCAAATCTCATATAGTCCCATATCTTATTAAAGAAACAAAATTTATAATTAAAAATCCCCTCAAAAAGACATCTTCAGGTTCAGATAACACCACTGCTGAATTTTAACAAATACTTAAAGAAAAACTAGTATCGGGCCAACCCTAATTCTTCCAGAAAACAGAAGCAGAAGAAATATCTCACAAATTATTTTATAGGAGGAAAAATATCCTGGTCACTCAAAGTGATGATATATCTAAATATATGAGGCCAAAGCAGACTGACTCAAAAGTAACCTAAGAGAATTTTCTGGGGCTGAAGAATATATTCCATATTAATGACTGTTGTAGTAGCTACATAAAGGCACACACATTTAAGATTAATCCAATGGTAGCGTTTAAATTGGTGGATATCCCTACATGTTAATCATCTAAATGAAACCTCAATAAAGCCAATTTTAAAATTGCCAGGACTTCCCATTTCTGGTCTGGCACATATGGAGTTTAGGAGTCATCATTCCAGTCTGACAACAATAACAAAACAACTCTCTTATGACCCATCAACAACTCACCTATGACCCATTAGAGGAGAATGTAAGGTAAGCCATTGCCACAAACGCAGGAGAGATGGGTTGGAAACTGACAATCACAACTTCACAGCTAGAAACTAGCAAGCAGAGGCATCTGTGGGAACCCATTCCAAAGAATAAAATCCTGAAGGATTAAGGAACTCTTGAGATTATTGTGAGGACAATGCATAGAGTTAAAAAGTACAAGAGGATCTAGTCACAGGGTGGGTATTTTTATGAGTTTTTTATGAGTTTTATTTTTTTAATGAGTTTTATTTCTAGAAGTTCAGCCAGATTCTCAGAGTGAAGGTAAGAGAAAAATCTCCTCAGCAAGAGGACTAGAAATTAACTATTATGCACTATTGCAGAGCATTGTGTTCTTAACAAGGACTGCTCTCAAGAGAAAGTATTTACCAAAGTTTAGCCTACTGAGGTTTATCAGAGCCGAGCTGACCTGGGGAAACTATCTACCTAGTCCAGCCAGATCTAGCCATCCATGTGGAAGAATAGAAACTTCAGCTCCTTTTACCCTTCTATGTGGAAGAAGAGAAATATATAACTCGAAAACCTGCTACCCATCCTATCCTAACCAAGAATGAGAAAAAAACTGAGAATCATTTATAAAGTTCACCATTCCATGGTACAGTAACACAAAGACCTAATCATAAAATTATAGACTACTTCCCCTCCCCACATACCTCATCACCACATCACTGAAGGTCTACTTACTGCAATTCCATTTACAAGTATATCATGTCACCCCATCACGAAAAAACACTACAAAGCATTTTAAAAGAATACAGCCCGAAAAGTCTAAACAAAACTCAGAACCAGAGTCAGATATGACAGGAATATTAGAATTATCAGACCATGAATCTTTAAAAACTATGATTAATATGCTAAGGGCTCCAAAGGACAAAATAGGAAACATGCAAGAACAGATGGGTAATGCAAGCAAAGGGAAGGGAGTGCTAAGAATCAAAAAGAAATGCTAGACATCAAAAACAGTGCAACAGAAATGAAGAACGCCTTTGATGGGCTCATTAGAAGACAGAACATGCCAGAGAAGAGATCTCTGAGCTTCAGAATATGTTAACAGAAACTTCTAAAACTGAAAATTAAAAAGGAAAAGGGACTTAGAAAAACAGAACAGAATAT